CTTTCAAGTGTTCGACGTCATGTGCCACATGTAAGCGCCGTCATCATGCATTGCTACATCGCGATTCGGATTCGAAGACGGTCGGTCCACCAGCTGCCATGCTTGGTCGGCTACAATCCCCAACGGTGCTACTAGGGACAGCTCTGGTCCAAGTGCAGGACACAGTGGGGAGTTGCCGCACTATACGTGCACTAGTCGATTCGGCTTCGCAGATAAGCGCGATAACATCAAGTTGCTGTGAGCGCTTGGGGCTCAAACCATCGCGTTGGACAGTTCCCGTCACAGGACTGTCTGGTCAAAGGGTACCGGATGTACACGGCGTCGTTCAACTGAAGATCCAGCCGCGAGATCGCCCTACGCCGTCAATAAGTGTCAAACCTTGGGTGCTGTCTTCAATCACTACCGACATGCCAGCTCGGCAATTACCCGCTCAGGTCCGGGCTAGATGTAGCCACTTGACTCTGGCAGATCCGAGTTTCGACAAACCTGCTCCAGTCGATATGCTCATCGGCGCCGACATCTTTCCACAAGTCTGGAATGATAAGAGCAGTTCGTTAGGCCCAGGATTCCCATCGGTGTACAGCTCGGTCTTCGGTTGGGTCCTGATTGGTCCGGTACAAGAACATCCAGACATTGGAGCTCAGTCAATGTTGGTGTCCTTGGCGTCCTCGATGGAAGCTCTCATGGAAAGATTCTGGTTGGTAGAAGAACCGGACGCGGCTCCGCAGCAATTCACGGAAGATGGTCTGTGTGAAGAGTTGTTCCACTCGGAAGTCAGCAGGGATTCGCAGGGTCGATTTTCTGTGCCACTTCCTTTTCGCTCAGGCCAACCAGTGAAGTCCTTTCCGGGTTCTCGGCAGGTAGCCCTCAATCGGTTTCTGCAGCTAGAGCGGAGGTTGGCAGCAGATAGCATCTTATATGCAGCTTACCGCAAGTTCATGTCCGAGTATGAGGAACTCGGTCATATGACCCGGGCCGAAGGTGCCGGACAGTATTATATCCCGCATCATGCGGTCCAGAAGGTTGAAGGGGATGATGTCAAGCTTCGAGTAGTGTTCGATGCTTCAGCGAAGTGTCACTCGGGAATGTCCCTCAACCAGTGTCTGCTGGTAGGCCCAAAACTGCAACAAGACATTGTTGATGTTCTGGTTGGGTTCAGGGTGCATAAGGTGGCATTCACAACGGACATCTGTAAGATGTATAGACAGATTGAGGTGCTGCCGCAATACCGAGGATATCAGTACATCCTATGGCGTGAATCACCTCAAGTCTCTGTAAGAGAGTATGCCCTGAACACTGTAACGTACGGGGTAAATAGTGCTCCCTATTTAGCCCTGAGGGTTCTCCGCTTCATCGCCGACACGGAATGTGCAGATCAGCCAGACGTGAAGGGAGCGTTATATAACCAAACGTATATGGATGACATATGTGTTGGCGCAGAGTCCTTGGGAGCTGCTAAAGTACTACAGTCCAACCTGATCAAGACTCTTGCCAGATCCGGCCTACAATTGAGAAAATGGGCTAGTAATTCACCGGAGTTGCTGGACCATCTGCTTCCGGAAGATCGTTCTGGAAGTCCGTTGACGTTTGAACAGAATAATGCCACGCATGTGTTAGGCATGTTGTGGAATCATGATCTGGACTATTTTTCGTTTACCGTCAACAACTTCAAATTGGTTCTCACAAAACGAGGTGTGCTGTCTATGATCGCCAGGATTTTTGATCCGCTAGGTATGCTGTCACCAACGATATTTTATGCCAAAACCATCATGCAACGTCTGTGGCTCTCACAGGTTGGTTGGGACAGTCGGATTCCATCGGATATCGCAGATGATTGGTGCCACTTCTACCATTCACTAGGTTGGCTGGTGGACATCCAGATTCCACGCTACATCGGTTGCTACACTGGTTGTAGTTATATTCTCTGCGGTTTTTGTGACGCCTCCGAGAAAGGATATGCGGCTGTAGCGTATCTCCGCGTGACTGATCCGTCCGGAGCTACGGCCACATACCTCCTGGGCGCCAAAACCAAGCTAGCACCAATGAAGACCATGACAACACCACGTCTGGAGCTAAGTGGTGCATTGCTCCTTGCATCATGGTTGGCCAGGCTCAAGCGCATTTTGGAGTTCCAGTTGGGAATTTCTGATGTCTTCGCGTGGTCTGATTCGTCCATAGTTTTATCGTGGTTGAACATCCCGCATACATCGTTCAAGACGTTCGTGTCCAACCGGATATATCAGATCCAGTCCGCAGTACCCGGTTGCCACTGGCAACATGTGCGATCTGAGGATAATCCGGCTGACTGCGCGTCTCGAGGTCTCCTCCCTGACGAGCTTAGGCGATGCAAGCTCTATTGGCGGGGTCCGACCTTCTTGCAATCTCCAGTCGAAGCTTGGTCTCAGGAAATCCCACAATTAGAGTTGGAAGAGCTGCCGGAAGTAAAACCAGTGTGTTTATTGACTTGTGAAGATCCTCCAGTCGAATGGTTTATTCGGTTCTCCTCCTTTCACCAGATGATTCGCGTACTAGCTCAGGTACGTCGGTTCATCCGGTTGTGTCAAAGGAGAAAGGTCGAGCTAGGTTTTCTCAAACAAGCTGAATTGGATGAAGCTACGCTCGTGATCGTTAGGAGTGCTCAGAATTGTTATTTGAGCCAGCTAGTAGACGGCCTGCGTCGGGGGAGCCCGGTCCAGTCCAAGGCGCTAGCTCGTCTGTGCCCGTTCTTGGATTCAGATGGTATAATCCGCGTTGGCGGACGGATGCAAAACTCCAATTGGTCGGAGAGACGAAAGCATCCTATGTTAGTTCCGAAAGAGTCTCATTTAGCCGTTCTGATCACACGACATTGGCATCTCTACGCGTGTCACGCCCGACCGCGTTTGCTCATCGCTCTCGTACAACAACGATTTTGGGTCATTGGCATTCGCCTGATAGTTCATCGGGTGATTCGAAAATGCGTGTTATGTGCTAAAATGTCGGCTGATCATCCACAACCCATCATGGCTGCTCTGCCAGGGTTCCGGGTCCGGGAAGCCCACCCGTTTTCAATAGTCGGCATAGATTACGCAGGGCCCTTGCAAATGAAGGAGCTCAGTCTGCGGAAGGCGCGCATCGTTAAGGTTTACATCGCTGTTTTTGTTTGTATGACCACCAAAGCGGTGCATCTAGAACCAGTGTCTGCCCTCTCGACGGAAGCTTTCTTGTTAACCCTGGATAGATTCGTAGGTCGCCGTGGCTTACCGTCGGCCATCTATTCGGATTGTGGCACCAATTTCGTTGGTGCGGCGAGGCAGCTGCGTCAATTGGTCAATAGTCCGGACAGTAGAGATCAGTTCTCAGGTCATATTGCGTGTGAATGGCACTTCAACCCTCCTGGTGCTCCCCATTTTGGAGGAATTTGGGAAGCCGCCGTTAAGTCGGCGAAGTCATTGCTTGTTCGAGCAATGAATTCCCAAATTTGGACTCTAGAAGAGTTTTCAACGGTGTTGTGTAGGGTAGAGGCTGCTCTGAACTCGCGTCCCCTAATACCAGCATCATCTGACCCAAACGATCTGGAATGTTTAACGCCCGGTCATTTTTTAATTGGTCGCCCTTTGTTGTCAATCCCAGAGCCTGTTAGTACCAGCGCACAAGTGGGACTGCGGACTCGCTGGAAGCTCCTCCAGCAGTCCTTCCAATTCTTTTGGCGACGTTGGTCTCGGGAGTATTTGAACACCCTCCAAGCTCGTGGTAGGTGGACGAAGACTGATATCAATCTCGAAGTTGGTACTATGGTCATCGTCAAGGTTAATGATGCGCCTCCGCTATCGTGGCCATTAGGAAGAATCATTGAGGTGTATCCAGGAACCGACAAGGTGGTACGGGTAGCTAAGGTTATTACTAAACAGGGGGTGTTCACCAGACCAGTGGTTAAACTAGTACCTCTCCCCACAGATCCGTAGGTATTGAGACTCCCCTTAGTCCCTGTTTCCTGTATCCATTTGCACTTTATATTTGTATGTTATTGCTACGCTCATTATGTAAATAATTCGTTTTCTTATCAACCATCACCATGCATGCTGCTGGATGTTTCGTCGGCTGTTCTGCCTCGGGTACCAGGTGAGGTATGGTATTTTTTATTGTTTGTTTTTTGTTATATTTTCAGGTATTAATCTGTTATAATATTTGTGTATTTTGAGAAAAAAAAATGTAACTAAAGTCTTTGTTTGTGATATCATTTAACTTGTGTTCCTATTGTTAAATATTGTAATGCTAGTCCAGCTATTGCTCTAGTCATTGGTAATGTTATTAAATTAATTTATTTCGTTGCAAGAAAAAGACTGTTAATGATGTTGCCCCTTTGTAAAAAACCCGATCATCGCTCTGGTCTGTTCAACTGCTCCGTTCAACTTCTCCGTTCAACTGCTCCGTTCAACTGCTCATTCAACTGCTCCGTTCCACTGCTCATTCAACTGCTCCGTTCAACTGCTCATTATACTGCTCCGTTCCACTGCTCATTCAACTGCTCCGTTTGTGTGCTCATTCAACTGCTCCGTCCATCAGCTCAACTGCACTGTTCAAGTGGTCACTTGCTCGGCCACCTACATCATGGTTGATCGAAGTCTGTTGCAAGTTCGCTGAACTTGCAAGGGGGAGTATGTTCGATCCGTTTGATTACCCGCTGCCGCCGTCGGTGGTCGCGCTGTTTACCGTCAAACGCTATGTTGGCTAGACTGTCACGGTAGCCGTTACCGGATTCGGCGCCGGCGTGTTCGTGCGGTCTCATCACTTTTGCTTTTGCTCTGGTCGGGGCTTGCTCCAGCTCCCCGTGTACCTACCTGCTCCGTTCAACTGCTCCGTTCAACTGCTCATTCAACTGCTCTGTTCAACTGCTCCGTTCAACTGCTCCATTCAACTGCTCCGTTCAACTGCTCTGTTCAACTGCTCTGTTCAACTGCTCCGTTCAACTGCTCTGCTCAACTGCACTGTTCAAGTGGTCACTTGCTCGGCCACCTACATCATGGTTGATCGAAGTCTGTTGCAAGTTCGCTGAACTTGCAAGGGGGAGTATGTTCGATCCGTTTGATAACAACATTGCCGCCGTCGGTGGTCACGCTCGACCGACCGCCGCAGTAACCATGTTCATGGGCGCTGCGCGCCGGCAGCCGCAATTTTGGCAACACTGGTAGGCTGTTACCGGCGCCCGGCGCAGGCGAGCTCGTTCGTACGCGCCACTCTCTCTCCGTTTTTCCGTTGCAACGTGTACCCGACCGCTCCGTCAACACGGTTGTTCTGCTCGCTCGCCCGTCAGCCATCTTTTCCCGTTTGGGATAGTTACGGAAAACGTGTTTATTGTTCAGTATTAAACATCGCGGTTGTTCGGCCGATTAACCGTATTGATCTTTTATTGACTGTCGTCGTCCAGTCTGCTCTCGTCAAGTTCGTGACAATCAGCTCTGAGTAGCTTTACCTACTATACCATTCTTCGCGTCCACGTGCGCGGTTGAACGTTCTTCGCTCCACGACACGACGGTGCACACGCTCGCACCCGTGATCCAGATACAACAGCTCCGCACATACAGCAGCTCCGCACATACAGCAGCTCCGCACATACAGTTCACCAGCTCAAGACATCGGCCAGGAAGGCAGCTCAGTCGGTGATCCCCGTTTCCCCCCCTGTAACTTGTGTACTGATAGATACAATTAATTTGTTGTGCATGTAAGACTTAATACATGCCAATTCTTGTATATTTAAACTCAAATTGTTGTTATTTAACATTTGCCCTGCCCCGCCTTTATCCCGAGGACCGTGTGTCAGACGACAACCGCTAGTCAGGATCGTCGGCGCAAACAAGTAAGTTGAAAAAACTGTTACTCTATTTTTAATTTATTCTATTATGTTACTTCCAACCTATATATTTTATACTCTCTGCCCTAACCAACGCTACTATAGATAAATAAATACATAAATAAGTAAAATAAAATATACCTCATGGTCGGTGATATGGGTAATGATTTTTTTGTTTTAGCTACTATCTACTTTGATCGGAAATACCGTCTTATCATTCTATGAATGTGAGCCGATCGGCATGGTATTAATGAGCTACCTAATCGGAGTTAAAAAGTGGCATCTTGACAATGGTACCTTGGAGTTTGGTGATAGCTGGTATTGTAGATATTAGCACGCAGTTTTATTTACTAGGATGTGTAACATTAAATCATATAAGAATTATTTAAATACTGTTTCGGCTCAGTTTGAAATTGAATAAATATATAAACTCCATGGTACCATTGTCAAGATCTTCGACCATATAAACTAATAGACGCGCCTTATCATATACTTGTATAGGAACAATTTTGTAGCCCACATGTTTAGTGATATGACGTCACGTTTGGGCAAAATAACAAATAATATTATACTATGATTATATTATGAATAATAAATAATATACTAATATGTACTAAATAATACTGATAATAACCCGAGTAATCGACTTGTCGTAATATACTAAATATATACTAATATTGATTTTTTTAATTATACGTAATACCTAACTAATAATTTATAACACTATAAGTAATAAAAATAATTTAAAATTGGTTCATTGGTAATAAATAATAATATATATAAGTAGATTTTAAGTATTATATTATTATTAAAAAAAAAATGGGTCTTTTCATGGGTAAGTCCAAAAAAATTATCAACTAGGTATTCTTAATTTAATTTAATTTAATATAAACTACCTTACTACTATTCATTTAAACTTTAAAGTTTATACATCTATCTGGATTTGTAGTTAGGCAAGTAAAAAAAGTTGTTAAATGCAATCCTTGTATTTGTGCTTTAACTTCAACTGATCACAGATCTCGACTTGTGACTCTGAAACAATATTCCTCAAACCCACACACCGGACTCATAAATGCTTCACCTGATGTTATTTATTTGTGTAAACTAGCCAAATCAGAATTCAGAATAATTGAAGGAACAGCTAATTTAAATAAGGAAAACATAATTGAGATATTAGTGATCAAATGTTTACGAAATATGAATAAATCCGTTTTTAAGGGTTTTCATGATCATATGTTTGATGAGGACGCTCAAGGAAATTATGTAATATTTTTGGTAAAAATTATAATTGCCCAATATTTAAAATTAAGATTTCATCATAAAGCAAATTCCATCAATGATTTACGAAATAATAAACGTGTTCGCAGCTAGTGTATTAACCAAACAGATTTTATTTTCTAATCAATAAAATTAACTTTAATTTTAAATAAAGTAGAATTACTACGTCATCGTCACTACAATTTACAAAATTAATTGATTTATTATGTATAATATAATATTAAATATATTAACAATATTAAGTAATTAACTAAATATAATAATAATATCTGTATAAAAAAATGTTGGGTTTTTATTTTATTGACAATAATTTTAAATAAAATCAAAAATATTTTATTTCCTGGTTTGGATTTTTAGGTACCTACATAATTGCATCATTTACTTTTCGACCAGTGATCGTATATAGACATAATATAGTGAGTGCTAAACTGCTAAGTACAAAATGTATCATGGAGGTTCGGTTAAAAATACTAATTATTTTAAAGGTTGGTATTTTAGAGCTTATTTGTGCATATTTCAAAACTGTATAGTTTTTAAGAATAAGATCATATTTATAGTCTTTTTAATTGTATAATCTATATATATAAAAATGAATGTATGTCAGTGTGTCAGTGTGTCTGTGTGTCTGTGTGTCCATGTTACCATGGTTACCAAGGTTGCCATGGTTACTAAGGTTACCAAGATTTCATATCAATCTATATAATATATAAAAATGAATGTATGTCAGTGTGTGTGTGTGTGTGTGTGTGTCCATATTACCATGGCAACCATATCTGTATATAAAAAACAGTAAGCTGATTGACTGCTATCAACGCACAGCTCAAACCATTGGACGGATCTGGCTGAAATTTGGCATACAGATAGCTATTATAATATAGACGTGCGCTAAGAAAGGATTTGCCAAAATTCGCATTTTAAATAGGTGCTGAAACAGGGACATTGAGATTCACGATAGAAATTGGAAATTTTATTTTTATTTATTTATAGTTGCCATTGGTTACAGTCTACATTAGAAATTAGCATTTATTTATTGGTTGCCATTGGTTATTCGGGCAGATCAGGTACAAGCTTGCATCAAATCGAATTATTGAACAATGCTTACCAGGGTGGCAGAGTTGCACTTACCGCAGAAAATTACACCCAAAAGGAGTTCAACAATCATAATTTTTTTAAGAGTTGCGATTTTTTACGAGCAACCAAATTTATTATATTAATCCACAGTATTACATCAAAATAAACTTGGTATAACTTTGATACTTTAGAGTTAAATCATACACTTCCGTACAAACAGCACGGGGTCCGCGATCTACCGCAGGTAGATTGCCTACCTGATAATGTACTGCTGCGATTCAGAATTTTTATTCAGGGCAATGGGAAAGATAAGATAAATTTTGAACACCATACACGTTAATGAATTGAACAAAGTTTGAGTAGGTAGTATTGAGTTGATCCATTTAACGGGCGACGAAGTGCACGGGATCAGCTAGTACTATAATATTTTACTATATCGTGATTTTTATTGAATGTGAAACCTAGAAATTATATTACCTATTATAAATATATTATGTTCATATGTATATAGAGATTAGAGTTTAATAATTATATTCTAGTAATAACTAAATATTAAACAATCCATTATACCTATAAGAGAAGTGAAACAGACAGTTGTAGGTAGGTACCTAAGCCAGTTAATTTAGGTATCAATTATTTATCGGGATAACGGATTAGCCACTGTTATATTATACAATATTACTATCCACAAAAGACAATACGTCAATAATATTGTAATTAATAAAAATATTATATTATTAAAATAATGAGCGTCAAAAGATTGGAATAGCGTTGGCTATATTCTATACGGTGAGTATACGATTACGACGGTATTGCCCAAACGTGACGTCACACAGTGACAGATGTTGGCGTCAATATATTTACCATACGCCGCGTCTATTAGTTTATATGGTCGAAGGTCAAGATGCCACTTTTTAACTCCGATAAGGTAGCTCGTTAATACCATGCCGATCGGCTCACATTCAAAGAATGATAAGACGGTATTGCCGATCAAAATAGATAGTAGCTAAAAACAAAAAGATGATTAGGTACCCATATCACCGACCATGAGGTATATTTTCTTTTACTTATTTATGTATTTATTTATCCATAGTAGCGTTGGTGAGGGCAGAGAGTATAAAATATATAAGTTGGAAGTAACATAATAGAATAAATTAAAAACAAAGTAACAGTTTTTTCAACTTAGGTACTATTATCATCAAAAAAAAAATCGATGTCAGATAGATTTTCTTTGGAGTAATTTACAACTCTGCTGATGGGACTAGGATGATCAAAAGAATTTCTATAAAAATAAAAAACCACAATAGTTTTGCAAACTAATGATACTACGAATCGAACATTGAACATCACCTACTATAAAATTACTATACTTAAAGAGGTTAATAGCTGGTAATGGTAGAATATTCCTAGTTGGTCGTAATTTTTATAGTTTCTTTGTGAAATGAAAATACACGTATAAAACCATTTAGATTGGTTTCTAGCTACCTAATTCTATAAAACACCGGAAGTCGGAACCAGCGTAAAATGCGTGCTGTAGGACTGTGACTTAAAAACAACTTATAGAATATATGTAAGATTAATCTAATATAATATTGTACAAAATAAATAAAAAAAACATACCACTATTAACTTCTAGAATTAAAATAACAGGAGGTAATATAATGTAAGTAAAATTATGAATGATATATAATAATATGATATAATTACATTATTTAAATTTTTTTTACAATTTTGTTCGTTTGTATTTATTTAGTGTATTCATCTGTTATCATAAGAGCTTCTAATTTTTGACCAGTCTTAAACTTCCTTAGTTAATTCCAATTCCTGAATACGCGTACAGTGTTGAACATTTTAAATAGAATTTAAGTAAGAAGAGTATTTTCCAATATTAAATTAAGATTTGAATTTAGGTAGTTGTGTTGATGTGTAAAATTTGTGCTCAAGACAAATCAGAAAAAATAGCCAGATAAAGCGTTTATCATACAGCACAATTTTTAGAGGAAAAATATTCTTAGTACGATAAACATTACACAGGTCAGGGCATATAGACCATACCTTAGTGGTTAATACATGTGAAGAAGTACCTATCTATGTTGCGAGTATAACAAAATATAACTA